TTAAATGAGGAAACCTCAAGCAGAAAAACCCAGATGCTGCCAAAAGCATCATCAAGCAACTCCTGTCCTCACTTTACTTATCCGCTCCATCGCCCTTATTCTTCACCTTTCTTGTGCATCTTTTCCCTGGATAAATTCATACTGTATGTGATGCATGATAAGTGTAATTCCAAATAACGTGATGTAACTAATTCTAGATTAGAAAAGATAAACGCTGCGAGGAGAGATGGACGTGCGAGGCAGAGAGTAAATGTGGGAAACATTATCAGGAGATCAGAGTCAATGAGTGGAGGCTAGTGGAGGAGAGTAGCCTATCCCTCACACAACCAGCTGTCTACAGGCCCGGACAGCCCTGTCAAACAACACTTATCCCCACATGAGCCCATGCGCACACACACACACCCACACAAACACACACACACACACATACAGAGCTAGAGAGAGACCTGAGACCTAGGGTTAATCCCCCCCATCCAACCACCCATCAGCTTTTGCATAAGAAGATGACATCACAGATCAGTGAGGGATTGGTTGGTTGGCTGTCCCTGAGTGTATCTGTGTGTTTGTGGGTATGTGCTCTTGTACATTTATCTTCCTGAGGACCGAATGTCCTCACAGTAATGGTTAAAAACCTACCAAGTGAAAACATTTTAAATGGTACGCACAATGACCTGAGCTGTGGGTTAGGGGTAGGGCTTCTGTTAAGATGAAACATTAAATAAGGTTGTTTTTATTGTGTGTATGTTTGGAGGCGTTTAAATGTGAAGTTTAGCATAATGGAAATAGTTTGACTTCAAATTAAAGAAAGGTCCTCATAACGACAGAAAAATAAATCTGTGTGTGTCTGTTTATACGCTGGGATTGGACAGCCTCGCTCTGACACGTGGGGGTTGGGTGGGGTGGGGGCGGGGGCGTTGAAAGGCATCTGCTTAATACTCTTATGTAAAACGAAACTGTAATACACTTCCCTCCAGTTTCTAGTAGAATCATTATTAAAAGTGTGGATTTCCCCCGTTTTTTTTATTTATTTCCGAGCCACAACTGAAACCTCGCTTTTGCCGGCTGACTCAGTGGTTTGAGGGAAGGGTTAAAGGGTTCGTCGGTGGAGAGAGTGCATTGCTGCCTGGCTGGAAGGCCAAATTGCTGGTTCACTGGCAGGATGGTTGATCGGTTGGCACGTTGACCAGTTTGCGAGTTAGTTGACCAGTTGACAAAACGTTGGCCGAAAGGCTGAATGTCTGGCTGGCAAACGTCTTTTTTAATGCTGACATACTCTATTTATTTATATTAGCATCCTTTAGAGCATAAAACTTCCAAATTAAATTGTTTTTATCAGGTAGTTTTCTGGGAAATCCATCTAGAATACAATATAAATTAAAGCTGCCCTGTGGTTCTTTTTTTTGTAAACAAATGTAGTTATCTTAGTTATCTTTACAGTCAGTGTTACTCACTAAAAGGCATTGTGTGCATCTTTAAGACCTCATAAACCAATAGCAAACACTATATTTTATATATTTTAAATCCTGTGTGCTAGCTAGGCATGTTTGCTAACTTGTAGGGGTCAAAGACTCCACAGAGTATCTTGAAATGAGTATTTCCATTAGCCTTCTTTGTCATTAGCATCTTCTCTTGTCCAGTACCATTGAAAATTGAAATTTCTCCAAATGCCCAAAGACTACAAGAAAACAAATCAGTCAACTGATCAGGTGATATTGATAGTGTTCAATGATAATAATAGCAGGCCAAACACAAAATACGATTCAATGTGAGAAGCTAATAATTGTCAGTTTGTTGTAGAATTAAGCCGTCAAATTATGTCAAGTTTTCAGCATCATTCCATCATTGATCAGTTTTATCATTTAAAATACCAGTTAGTGGGATTTAGACTCAACCACTACACTAGGAGAAACTACAGTGGGCGCGAAACTCGCAAAGAAGTCGAATGGACCTATTTAGGGCAGTGTTTGGTTTGTCCGTGCTGGGCTACTGTAGAAACATGGCGGTTCAACATGGCGGACTCAGTAAAACTGTAGATAAAACGTCTCATTCTAAGGCAACAAAAACACAAATATTCTTATTTTCAGGTGATTGTACACTAATGAAAACATACTTATGAATATTATATTCAATTTCTCCTAAATGGACCTTTAATCAATAGTGAAGGTCATTTTATATGTATTCATATGTCTGACAGTGTACTTGACATTACCTTGTTCGCTCTAAATCAGCAAACCACCATCTGGTGTTCAGACTATTACAAGAAAATGCTAAACATTATCTGTGAATTCCATTTAGCCGAAGGACTAAAGGCAGGGGAATCATCATTCATGCAGCTCAAAGCTTCTGTCTGGAAAGCATCCAAATCAGTGGTGGAGATTGCTGATGAGTTTGAGCTCAGGGGTCACATCCAGTCCAGTAGGTTAATTTACTTTCTGTATGTGTTTGACTCTCTTGCTAATAACTTTCACAGACCAAATATGACACTTTCAGATATACATCTTAAATATTAACATGCTTTAAATGGATTATTACCACCTTGGATGCAGTTGACAGCTGTTACTAGAGGTGTAAATCACAGATGTGGACCCAACCTGAAGACATTTTTTTTTTTTTACAACTTCAGCAACAACTTCCCACAGTTCTTTGTGTGTCCTGCAACATAACTATATTCAATATTTTATTATGTACAAGTCTGAAGAGCCTGTAGAGAGCTCTGTCGTTCAAATAATTAAAAAGTTTCAAGAAGATCTGACAGTCAGAAGATGTGTTTCATAGAGGCCAACCATGGCTGCATTGGGTCCAACTTCATCAAAAAGGCTGAAAAGTTATATATTAAGGGCAATAAATGTGCCCAAATAGGGGCATTTGCTGTGAAGGCCAGAAGATTTCTCTTTGCTCTGATAAAAACGTGAGGCAGAAGCAAGCTTTTACCTGCTTGATTAAAATAAGTCTGACAGTCGCCTGCTGTTTTTACTGGGTCTAGACAAAGTAATGAAGCACTTGTAAACATGAAATTCAAAACAGCAGTCAATTAATGATTGTCTGGCCTTCTTTGTGCTGTTACTCTAAGCATTAACAGTTTGGTTTCCGGGCTCTGGCTGCGTGGCCTCAATAAGAACAAGTCTCTTTTCTAAAAGTCAGTGGGGAACCAATGGGGGAACTTTTTCAACATTTTGCATACTTTATGTTTATCTTTGCAATTATTCAAAGCAAGAGAACAAGATGCTAGCCACCACAAGTACCTTTTTTAGAATTTGATATTGGTTGATAATGATCATAGATCTTGACACTTTTAATGTAATGTCCATAGCTCAAAATATTGGACAGACATGTTGTTGTGAGCCTTTTAATTTTGACATCTAGTCTTAGACAGCACTCCCATTAAAGAAAACAACTTGTGTCCTAATATCCTCCTTCATATCCTCAAAGACTTTAAGGATATGCTTTCTCCTGTCTCAGACAGCAGTATCCTAAAATAACTCCCCAGCTCTAAAAGTAGATAACGCGTGCTGTAGCAACAGTGCTAGCTACGGTATGTAGGGCTTGTAAAGAATAGTATGCTTTGGGATATTTTAGCTGATTTCCAGAGCAAAGTCAGTAGTCTCTTCAGGCAAGACATTTAAAGGCAAAAATCACTCTTTTTTTCCCTACTCACCAGTTGACCAGCATGGCAGCGTTGTTCCCCGCGATAAAAGGAAGTTCCCCTTGGACGTTGTGAAATACAAATCCTTGGGATAAAAGCAATAAGATCCACCAGAGGAACATGTTCCTCCTAATTCCTCTGCCCCCAGTCCTGTCGGGATCCATGCATCAAGGGCAAAGGTGACCCTGGGGTCTCCCAGGTCTGCAGCGCCTGAAGTTGACGGGGTAGTGAGCCAGACGGCCTGGAGTCATGAGGGCGTCAGAGGGCCCAGGTGACGGGGTCTCAGGCTGAACTTAACGGTGTTAGGGATCTCCTGATGGATGCATGGCCGTGGTGCTGGTGTTGATACGTGCTGTTGTTTCGCCTTAGCAAGGGGGCGCCTGCAAAAAAAAAACTAATTTACCTCACTTTCAGGCTGCTGCCAGTCGATGCCCACAGTGCATTTCCTGAATTGCTTCTTCTTCCCTTCGCTCGCCAGCCAGTCCCATCAAGAATGTTTGATCATTATTCCACAAACGGCTGTCAGATAACAACAACAAAAAACTGCATAAAAGATAGAAAATGTCCACACGGTTAGCCCCCCTCCATCCCACCAGTGATAAGCAGCAGTGAGTGTCCCTCTCCGTGGCTTAGAATGTGTCCTGAGGTGTGTGTGTGTGTGTGTGTCAGCAGTTAGAAATCATGCTTCATGTGTGTCTCAGAGTGTGTATGTGTGCGTGTCGGTGCCGGGATTGGCAGGGCGGAGTGGGCGGGTCTTAGAGCTCTGTCAGTATCCCAGGACAGGAAGCCTCACCCCCCCTCCCTCCTCCTCCTCCTCCACACACACACACAACACACCACACAACACACACACTCGCACACACTCCCTCTCTTTCTCTCACTGATGGCAGGATGCAGATTGTAACCAGGGATTAGGGAGGTTCAAAAATCCGATTTTGCCCGGAGAAAGCCTTGTGTATTACTCTGAGTGTGTGTGTGTGTGTGTGTGTTGTAGTGTGTTGTGGAGTGGGGGAGAGAGAGATGAGAGAGAGAGAGAAAGACAGACAGACAGAGAGCTGCTTGTGTACATGTTCCCTAGTGTGTGGAATATAGTCATTGGGTTTTTCATAGTTTACCAGTGCCTGCAGCCGCTGGTGAGAGGATTTTTTAAAGCCTCAAATGCAATCTTCAGCTGAATATTGTGTCCCCTCTCGCTCTCTCTCTCTCTCTCTCCCCCGCACTACACACTCCCTCTGACTCCACATTTACCTCAAACTGTCACATCGCCCCATTGTCGAAATCCCAGACATTAACCACATAATAATCTATTGTCGTGTCCTCGTAATAATTAACACCACATGCTCTCATTTCTCAGTTTAATAATGGATTTGAAGTCAGGTTGCGTTCGATTGAATATGAAATGTTCTCTTTATCGCAGCTTCATTTTTTAACTGTTCCACCTCCGCCGCTTTCCGCCACCTCTAATTATTTCATTACTGGAAGGAGGAGAGGTAGAGTCGTTGGGGGAGAAGCATGAGAGGAGGTTATTACCACTTTTCAAATAATACTTGGTGCCCGTTTTATCCAGTGATTGAGCGCCATCCGGCCGGTTTTAGATACGGTCAACTTTTTGGTCGTAAAAGTAATTTAGGAACGATGATGTGGTAACCCAACACCTGTGGTGCCGTAAGGAGGTCAAACCACACCGTAATAATTCCTCCATGTGCAAAATGTTTATCCTGGTGTGATTCAGCTTCAAGCAGCCATCTCTGTCATTAAGAGACCACTGGCCTTGTTTATTGTCCCTATCTAACTTTATATCCTTTTTATTTCTTCCCTCCCCCTCAGGACAGTATACAGTGATGATGGCCCACTTCTACCTGAAGAGGAAGATTGGATATTTTGTCATCCAGACATATATGCCCTGTTTCATGACTGTAATCCTGTCCCAGGTGTCGTTTTGGCTAAACAGAGAATCAGTTCCTGCAAGGACTGTCTTTGGTGAGTGAAGCTGGTCGTTTACTCATTTACTTTTTTTTTTTTTTTAAATGTTTTATTTTCCTGGGTAATATTCCTGTCATGCACATTCTCAAAGGGGAGAACAATAACACTTGCCCACTGAGCAGCAGCACTGCGGTACCTGGCAGTTATCAAAGCGCCCACCTTTGTTGAGTGAGGGGAGACTGTTACGCGTTTCCAGCCAGGTCTGTAAAAACTCAATTTGAACTTGTCGCGGCCTTTGTTTGCACCCAGGGGTGACTACTGTGCTGACCATGACCACCCTCAGCATCAGCGCCAGGAACTCGCTCCCTAAAGTGGCCTACGCTACAGCCATGGACTGGTTCATTGCTGTCTGCTACGCTTTCGTCTTTTCTGCCCTCATCGAGTTCGCCACGGTGAACTACTTCACCAAGAGGAGCTGGGCCTGGGACGGCAAGAAGGCTCTGGAAGCACAGCACCCTAAGGTACAGCTTGTGGGCACTAAATTACATGACCATAACATACATCACTGTCAACTATTCTCCAAAGCATACAGTAACTTTTTAGGCTGATTCTCTACCTTCTAAGCAGCCTGGTTTCCTACAGCATTTGAAAATCAACTTGCAGAGGTGCAACTTGCTTTAAATAGATCATCATTTACATTTAATAGTTACGATGTGATTGCATTATAATGCAGTTGTCTGTAGGGATCCTTTTGTCTGTGGTGGTATGCTTGAGGATGCACTTTTATATGATTTGAGATTGCCAATAGTTGTATTCATGAGCTATGTTATAAGAAAGTAACCTTGAAAAACAAGCGTGAAAACTGTGAAAAGGATGATGTGAGTTTTGCAATTTCTTTCATATAAAGGGTTTGTGTTTGGCAGATGAGAACAATATGGTGTGGAAAATGGGCTAAATCTTGCAAAAGCACTAACATGGCACTTTGAATAGCTTAAAAGAAATAGTACATTTTGGTAAATACGCTTCTTTCTTGCCAAGAGTTAGATGAGGTGATTGATACTACTTCTATTTATATAGAGTATTTATATGGAGTTAGCTTAGCTTAGCACAAAGACTTTTTTTTTACAGTTGGCTAGAGCCAGGCTAGCTGTTTTCCCCCTGTTTCCAGTCTTTATGCTAAGCTAAGCTAACTGTCTCCTGGCTCCAGCTACATAGACATGTGAGGGTGGTATTAATCTTCTTGTTGAACTGTTGGCAAGACAGTGAATAAGTGTATTTCCCAAACCATCAAACTATTTCTTTAAGGAACCACTTTGGTGTCAATGGATAACATTTTAAGGTGGTATTCCCAAATGACACTTACGGTAAAATGTGAACATCTAAGTTGTTTAGATGTGTCAATTGCACTGAAGTTGCTTGTTGTAGTAGATCCACAGATGCCCAGGACAACTGTCACGCATCTGCTAGCAGCTGCACTAAAACAAATACCTGCATATTACAAACATAATAAATATAAATCCAACTGACACCTGAGTGAAATTCAATTACACAGCACCCCTGCAATTTAGGAGAATGTTTTGCCAGAAATGTTTCATGTCTGTAAAATCACTAATCATTCTAGACAGGATGAAAAACATTGATTATCTCAGGCCAAAAACACTGGCAATAACAGAGCAAATGACATCTGTAGAGGGCTTAAAACTAATTCACTGCTCAATGTAATCTGTCCCGCTGTAGAAACGGGACCCCATGGTGCTGTCTAAGAAGCCCAACAACGTTTGCTCGGCGGGTGTCAACTACACCCCCAACCTCACCAAGGATGTGTCCATCTCCACGATCTCCAACACGACGTCGGTGCAGCTGCGGGCCTCTGAGACCAAGATGGTGGACCCGAAGAAGACCTACAACAGCGTCAGCAAGATCGACAAGATGTCGCGGATAGTGTTTCCCGTCCTCTTTGGAACCTTCAACCTCGTCTACTGGGCCACGTACCTTAACAGAGAACCGGTGGTGAAAGGAGTGGTCACCTCAACGTAATCTTTTTCTTCTTTTCCTTTTTTTTCCTGAGACAGAGAGTTTGTGTAAGGGAGGAAATTTTAGCCTAATTTGAAAGTGGGTGAACTAAAAGGAAAGGGGTTGTTGTAAAGTCTAAAAAAAAAACCCAACAAATATCTGCGCTTGAAGAACAAAAACAAAAACTATACTCAACTATCTAATTCAAGCACTTTGAATGGATGCAAGGCTGCAACAGAATCCCTTTCCTGTTTTTCATGGCCTAAAAAACTGCTTGATCACAAAGAAACTGCTTCTAAGACTATATCGACGAGAGAGCGGGCGCTCTGCTTCTTTCTCATCTATCCTGCTGCAGTTTGCATGATGCTCTCCTCAAAAGGAAACCATGGACTTGTTTTTGTCTTGAATACCGACCATGTGTATGTCAATCACTACTTAAAGTACGGGAGCACACTTCATTGCTACAACTTGAAGAAGGGGTTTTAAATGAAACGAACAGAAGGCATTTTGAGCAATTTTGCCCCAAATTTAAACGCTTCATATTCTTATGGAGGCTTGAAATGCACTGAGGTTATGTTATGGTAGAAAAAAACTGCAATATAACATGCATTTGAGAAAAAAAAAGGGATTTTAAAAAATGTACTGAATTCCACGCTGTGTGGAAGAAACATTTCCTTAAGATTAATGCTGCAGGTGCATAAATAATTTAGTTTATCTCTTTTTTTTAAAAAAACCTTTGCCATTTTTTTCTCCTTTTGCAGCGGGTGCTTTTGTGTCTTTTTGTACATCTTTACTTGAAGATTCAAAGCCTTCTGCTGCAGGCTTGGTTTCACAAAAGCAAAGTTTCAATGGAAAATGAAAAAAAAAAAAAGCTACCTGAAGGTGAAAAAAAAAAAAACATCGCAAGGAATTTTTTTTTAAATGAAAAGACGCTTCTTCATTCATAAAAAATGTAAAAGTTGACATTTAGGGCGGCTTGCCAACAAGAATATTTGAAAAACGTCTTTGGCCCACTTACCCTGGGTGACTGGACAGCTGTTGGTGTGTTCAGGACAAATTTAGGCTTGGATGTATGTGCTTTAACTGAATTTTGAGCGTTGGTCACTCAACTAGGAAACTAATATTCACAGTTGAGAGACCAGTGCTCGAAACGCACAGTGTGTCACATACAAATCAGCAGAGTGATGCAGGGAGTGTGGAGACTGTCATTCAGTGAGATGACCAGCGTGCAAACCCATAGTCAGGCAAGCGTCAGCGTCAGCTCCTGGGGCCGGTTTCACAAAGATAGATTGACTGTGGCGTAAATCGAACTAATAGTCACACTTAGTCGTCAGTGGACGTCTAAATTGATCAAGTCTTTTTTAACCTTAAGGCAGACTAATTTAGTATGAATTCTGAGTAAATTAAGATTCTTTTCAAACTATGAAAACACAACTGACTGAGCAATCTTCAGTCAGGTTCGGGATAGTTTCCAAAATTAAAATGATGATGATGTGCTCACTATGTATTTCCAACAGGTTTCTACACTCTCTAAAAACACTCTTGCTTCTCATTTTTCACACCAAAGTATTGTTGTAGGAACGTGGCTTTTAGTTCAGAATTAGTCTGGCAGGCTTCCTACGTGTCCTGAAAAACATGGATATTCAGAGGCTTGTTTTCCAGTCATAGAAACACCTGGAAATTGATTAGTGGATTGATTGGTGGAAGGAAAAGAGAATCAGCAATCAATGAAGTATCGTGATTGCATTCATTTTCTGCTTTCTAGTACAACGGCATCAGATTAATAAGTCGGCAAAAATAGACCACGCGTCTTCTAAATATGTGTTTCTAGAAGTGGATGACTTATGAGGCTAGCTGGCGAACTACTGTAGCTGGAAAGCTAACTGCTCACATGCTAGCCAGCTACAATCGCTGAACTTCTTCTGTTTTCTCAGTACTGTCCCGTTCTCACGAGTGATGAGCGACGTTCATTGAAGCCTAACTTGCTAGCTGGCAGATAGCAAGCTTGTTAGCAAAGTTATTTAAAAGATGTATTTGTACCATCGACTCCTTTTCTTTTGTGGAAGAAGTGTGTAAGGAGAAGGATAAATGATTGTGGATGGTGCAACACTGCTAATAAGCTACAATAGCATCCTCCATTTGAGACTCTCTGTTCCCTTACAGGGCAGCACTGTCAAGATGACTCGTTATTGGTCAACAGTTCAAATCCGCCGATCAAAATTGACCAAAGTACCGCACTGCAAGCAAATTCACTTTTATTGGAACAAATTGATTTCCACTTTAAATGATGGTGCAATCAAGCATTTAGGCTACAAAGATTTTGGGAAATTAGGCGAGTCTCATAAGGGAATCATGTAAATAAACCTTTAATTTAAACTCTTGGCTTTGACACTATAAAGGCTACGTTGAGATTCTCACATTTGAGTTTTTACGCCCTCAGAAGAAAAAAGTCTAACGTTGACTTTCACCTTATTAAGAGTATGTTTTCGTCTGATAGCTTTTTCTTAATGTTTGTGTGAACATGTGAAATTCCTTTCTTCTTGTCGCTTGTAGAAGAGCTGATCAAACTTAGCTTCTGATCTTTGAAATCTGATTTTTCTTTTTTTTTATGTTAACTTCTTTCCACATTGACTTCATTAAAATGGAAGCAATGAGCACATGTTGTGGCATTTTGGCTGGAGCCCACCACAGCACAGCACGTGTGACCGGTTGGACTATGGTGAGACATACTCAGGAACAAAAGGACCCATTGCTCCCAGCAGAAGCGTCGCCTCAGAGTCACTGTCTCTTTAATCTCGTGGGTTTTAACAGTGTGTCACCTGCTGCTGGGAGCATTGTCCCTGCTAACTTTTTGGCGCTGAATAAAACCGTATAAATAAAGTTGACATCAGCTGCTATTGTACCTGCTTTGCTTTGTGAAATTGGGACCTACAGTAAATGTCACAATATCAGCCTAGAATTCTCTCCAGCGCTTAAAATTTTTGTGCCATAATATCTTCTAGTGTTTTTGTGCTGGTTTTGGTTGATGTTGAATCTACATTTTATGTAAATTTAAAGGTGTCGCTATCCGTCAAAAGGCTGTTAATCGGCAAAACCTGAGACTTGTGTTTCAGCACTCGTTTAAGCCCAGCAGCCGTGTAAAAGGAAAGTCCAAAGAAATGCAGTTGAAAGGCGATCTATACATCCGTCTGTCTAGGGGTCGCCATGGCAGCAAGTCCAGATGAACAGACCAAGACATCCCTTTCCCCGGTAACAACCTCCAACCTCCTCCTGTATCTGTTCCTCCTCTCTCCCTGTTTGTTTCCGACTCTGCTGCTTATACACATTCTCTTAAAAAAAGCCACGCTTGAGTGCACATTTTCCTTTTGTTTCTGATTATGGGTGCAGAGGTTGAGTCCTTCACAAAGTTTGTTTGTTTGTCATTTGTTTGTTCTGTCCGAGCTGAACTGTTCCAGCGCTGCTTTATTTGAGCTGGCTGAGCCTCATTTTGAGTTGCCAAAGGAAATGAAACTGTAATAAGCATTTTGGCCCCTAATCATGAAGCGTATTCGCCTCCGTTATTTTCTCAATGGATGGTAATGTCGGTGTGCCGGTCCACCAATTTGTTCCGGACAGAAATATCTCAACAACCATTGTTGAAAAAAAAACATTAATATCCCCCTTCTGGATGAATTCTAATCATGCTGGCAATCTCCTGACTTTCCCTTTAGCGCCATCCTCAGTTCAAAAGAATGTTATTTGTCCAAAGCTTTGGTTTATGAGCAATGCGTTATACTAATTTAGCGCTAATTTGCCAATGCTAGCATGCAAAAACACTAAACCAAGATGGCGTAATGCGGTAAACGTTATACCTGCTCAGCATCAGCACATTAGCATTATCATTGTTAGCGTGCTATTAGCATTTAGCTCAAGTGCAGCCACACGAAGACGCTAGCATGGCTGTAGACCAAAAAAAGTTCGGCCCCCTGACAAGAGTTTTTATAGTTCACACCAAAACTTTAACATTATAAATCTGCTGTAAATAACAATGTAAACAAAAGGCTTGTGTAAATCACAACAACCTCATAACTTCTAATCATTGTTATTTCCCCCATATGAGGAGAGAGCGAGGGTACTGTGCCTCACTCTGCACCAGGCGGTTTCAACAGAGCAATGGAACTCTCTAACTAGTTTTATAAGTCAGTTTTAATCTTATTTGGATCAAAAGAAACAAACAAACAGGTCTGCTAGAAAACAAATGAACTAGCTGAAAGCAACTGGCCCATTGTTGAACCTAATTGCTGACCCATGCTGTAGAGTCTTAGTCTTGTTATAAAGTTTCAGTTAGAATCCTTACAATTATGTACAAAAACACTGCAGGTCAGAGGCTCTCCATTGTACTAAGACTTGCTAGACACGCATACATCTTCCTCGCCCTCTAAGAAATGAGTGCCCCGATCCATCCATCCATTTAACCATCCCTCTCTTCTCTGTCGCCCCTCCCTCCTTCCTTCAGCCACTGTGACAGACTCATCTGCCATACATCTGTCAGAAAAGGGATTTAGTTCCGCTTAAGTTCCTTCCCCCCCGTTCAGGGGGGCCCCCTTACAGCAAAGCGCTCCGCTCCAATTTAAGCCCCGACTGGCCCAGTCGATGACAAGTGCTTGTTTTTCTCTCTGTGGTGTCTGGACAGCTGTGGCTGGTGCGTGTTAGGGACAAATTTAGGATTGATTATATGTGCTTTATCCAAAGCTAGCTCATGGGCGGCGAGGCAGACTCAAGTTTTGAACTTGGGTCTCTCAACATGGGAATGTAATGCACATGCCGTCTGCTTAAAGAGACAGTTGTCTATCCCGGGAGCGCTATAGGCAGCCATCAAACACACATGCATGAACTCTCTCTTGTTTTTGAGCCTCAATAAAGATCTTTGATTATTTTTTTGGGGAGGAAACAATAAACTGAAAGCTTTTTTTGTTTAAGTTTTGCAAAAATGCAGCAAAGCCATTGTAGCTATAGCTGGGCTTAACGAAGCATTTGTGTTAATCATTCTTTGTTTTATGTACTGTATTTGTTTTAATGTATTATACTTAAAAGGATCAAATAAAAAAGATGAACAAAGATGGCATTCAGAAATGATTACTGAACGTGGAGCAAAGCTGCTGCATATTATGGAATAACTGTACAAGGTTTCATGATTCTAGCTGCTTACACACTAACTAAGGCTTTATAACAACAGTTTGATGCACATATCTTCTGTCGATCACACATCTGTGGGAAATCTTTCTCTCCATCCATTTATTCCTGCTTTTGTGAAAGCACCGCTGTCATTAATTTGTCCAGGACAGACCAATCAGCTTCAGTCATAGTGCTGCCAATCGCCCCCCTTTTTTCCCTCTGTGACTGGCGTTATCTATGATTATTTTCATCATGAGAGTGCTTTCACTTCTTAGATTCCACTGAGCAAACAGATAACAAGAACATTAGACGTTTATCATTCATAAGAGAGGGAAATACCCCCCATTGAAAGCGTTTCATCAGATTTATGAGGCAGTAAGGGAGTAGTGGAATACAACAAGGTTCATTTATACAATTTTGATTTAATTTTATGCCACCTTATACTCCAATACATTTATATAACAGCTGTAATTACTGTTTACCTGACCTTTCAAATTAAGATGATAAGCTTATAAAATACAACTTTGGTGACGTGATATGTGCACATACACTGAGAATGGA